GATGTAAAATTTGAAAACTAGCACCATAATTCTTCCTCACTGAATATGACATTATTGGATAAACAAATTATTACAAAGTCACCACAATTTTAAGATTTATTGTAATCAATGTGATTTTTTTTCCCCCTAAGTAGGATCTGAACTTCAGGTGCGGATTTTAATTACACTGAAATACCATCTAATTAATAACAACAGTAATAACTGGAATGTTTCCAGTCTCATTATTTAATATATATATATTTTAAGAGTCAAACTGTAATGTCTCCAAAAACTATTAACCATGTTAAAAATTAGGGTAAAAAAATGTCTGAGACAAGTAGGGGATAGCAAGTTTTGAATGCCTTCCTTCAAAAATACAGGAATAAAAGACCATGTAGACACTGCCTCTAACATCAATCTAGCCTTGTTCTTTAAGCATATTAACAACTTTCTTTAAAACCACTCTTCCCAGAATTCCATGTAATAAGTACCATGACCAAATGCTTTGACTACAGGGCACTAAAGTCAATGAATGAGGAAACCAATGCCCACAGTGAATAAGGATACCAAATTCTATTTTCCTGATTCCTAAGTCTACTGCTCTATGACTCTCCAGTAATAAACCTATACCTCTCCACACACAACTTCCCGCTAATTTTAAAAGGACTAAGGCTGATATGGAGCAACAAGGAGTCTAACAGTGATTGAGGGAAACCTGTTTCTGAGTGCGGTCTTCCTGCTGCCCCACACTGGGGTCGTATCACAAACACTATCCAAGTTTCTCAGCACAAATACCTCACTATGGTTAGTCACTGACCAATCTGAGCAGTTCAGTTTATAGTAATGCACAGCAGATTAGCAGATAGTTAGAAATTATTAGTTTGATTAGAAATTGAAGGACACATTAATGCTAGGGGGAAAAACACATGAAAGAACACCTTGCTTTGCTGATTCAACAACTTACTGGGATGAACTATTATAAGTGCAAGTAATTTGAGTGTTTTTTCTAATTGTAAAAGAAGCTGGTGTATATTATAGAAAACTAGGAAAATAAAGACAAGATAAAAGAGAAAATCACATAGTCTTAGCACACAGAAAAAATTACCGGCAGTTCTTGGTTTTGCACAAGATTGTTTTAACGGAAACCTGTTTTACATGGTTCTGTGGCAACAGAGCAATGTAGTGCCTCTATTGCTAGCATTCACATTTTTTTCTTCCAAATTATTCTCTATGCAAATACTTTTAAAAGCACTAAATATATATTAATATTGTGCCCAGTTTTACATACTGTTAGTTTTTCAATTAATAATAGTTTTCTTAGATGTTACATTTTTTAAAGAATAATTTACAATTGCATGACTTTCCATTTTATGGATATACTGCAAGTTAACACATAGCTTTAGATTTAATGTATAGGTTTTTCCACAATATTTTTGCTATTATAAATAATGCTATGATGAATATCTTGGTTAGCATATTTTGTAGGTCAGTTCCATAGGATAACATGGATTGCAATTAGGTCTACAGGATGGATTCCCAGGGAATTACTGAGAAAAATGACAAACATCCTTAAAGGCTCTAAATAGATATTGGCAAGACTATACCTCACATTAAAGTTCTTTTCAAAGAAATTTATAACAGAGTCAACTAAAGGGCATATTTTATGAGACTCTCAAAATAAATGTGTATCCTTTTCTCATACATACTAATTCAGAGCAATGGAAATTAAACCGCTAATATTTTTTCTTCTATCCCTTCATATATCTATATACTCTGGAAGAAATATAACTACCATTCCTTTACTTTTAAAGATTATTCATAATATTGACTTCCAAGATTTCTCTAGTCTTTTTCCTTGAAGAGGAGGAAGCTTTTAATTTCTAACTATGAGATCATTGTTTTTATATAGACCCAAGTTTATGTACAGTTCTGGACATAAACAGCTGTGTTCTATTTTTAATG